CTGATCTGTCCTGGGGGCCAGATGGGAGTGGGGAGGGGGATACGGCATCTCTGCTTCCCCCATGAGTGAAGTGAAGTGAAGGACATGAGGCAAGAGTTGATAATGCAGGTGAGCTGCACACAGGTGAGCTGCAAGCAAGCTGCCGGCCAGCTCTGTGGAGGCTCCTTTTATTGACACAATATGCAAACCCAGGCAGATACATTTTGGGCCGTGACCTTTACACATCTTCCAGTCCCGAGCTCATGGGGTGGTACAAAGTTATTTTGGCACCTGATTCCACCACGTCATTTCCCCCTTGCACAGTCTATGACGAAGGAGACAAAAGGTCTCAGAGACAAAGGTTACAGACAGGGTACTGCAGACTACTGAGACCGCAAAAGGTTAGACAGAGGGCATGATGTTCAGACAGCTGTGGATTTGTCTGTGAGGGGGAGTGTGCCCCGCACCCCAAGGTCACGCGTGCAGGCAGACTGAGGCTTCCTGCGGGTGGGGAGTATGCTCCGGACCCAGCGATCATTCCTACAATGAGAATGGAGGGTTCAATGCTGCAAGGTCTTCCTTCACATTCAGCTTCTCTGTAGGGAAGGCACACTTGCAGACAAGCACTCTGCACCCCACAGGATCAATGCCTCTGCTCCACAGCTGATATGCTCCAGGGGAAAGGAAGAAAGGAAGGTGGCAAGGCTGGGGCTGCGTGGACACACTGGCAGGGGGTCCAGGTTGGTTCTGCCAGAATGCTCACCTAGCCCCAACCTCACTCCTTCCCTGCCCAGGAAGCATAGTGACCCTGTTGTCAGGAGGGCTGAGGAACAGCACCACCACACCAGCTGTGCTTGGGTGCAGACTGTGCTCCTTCTCTATCTAATGAACAATGATTTATTATACTGAGATAACTATATCTGACTCTGAAGTAGAATAAACTATGAATTTGGAGTTAAATTTTAACACCGTGCTTAGAAAAAGCAAAAGAACCACAGGGCCCAGCTTGCAGTTTTTCTACATAGAGAGGTCCCATTGACATCAATAAGAGTTCCCTGTGAGGAAGTTAAGCAGGAATTAATGAATCATCACCAACAAAATAGCAAATTTGCTTCCAGGCAGCAGCTGCTGCTGCTGCTGCTGCTTCTTCTTCTTCTTCTTCTTCTTCTTCTTCTTCTTCTTCTTCTTCTTCTTCTTCTTCTTCTTCTTCTTCTTGACAGTCTAAAGAGTAACAGGAAGATCCTAAATGCAGAGCATATATGAAACTCAGTGAAATGACTGGAACTTGCCCACTGCAACTTTGTAAGCATATATAGACAAATGCACAGCAATAATTATTTTCCCCCACTTAGAAAGGGCTTCCCAGCAAGAGCTTTCTATCAAAAATGCCAAAGGAGGTCTTGTAGCAAGTGAACTTGTGACCGCACCAACTCCACAGATCATTTTAGTTGTCAGTTCATTGCCCCAACACACCACTAGGACTCTGTTGGATCAATGACCTGCAAAATAAAGTATTTCCAGTGGAGCCCTGAAATAATATTGTGTTAGCAGCACCTGCAATGACAGAGCCTCTGGAGTCTGTGGGGGTCTGTGCAATTTAGACTGACTTTTGAATCTGATGGAGGCATTATTGCCTATCATAGTATTGACCCTTGAGCTGCGGTGTCTCTTCATAGGCCCTTGCAACCCTTCGCTGTAAAATCTCAGCAGAACCGTCTGTTAAAGTCAATACTCCATATTCTCAGTAATTCTCTATTTACATTGTTTTTTGGTGGAATATAATGCAATGCTTCTAATTATACCCATGCCTCAGAAGGCACAAAGGAGCTGGTGCTAGTGTTGAGTAAATACATGTGTAGGGAATTCCTGAAATAGAGCTCATCTTTTTGAAAAACGAAAGAAAAAGAAACCCACACACCTCGAAGGAAACCAGCTACAAATTAGCAATTAAGAACAATTACATACAGGGTATGAATGAAGAAAATCCCTTTATGAAAATTTGCAATTCACTTGTGAGGAAACTAACTGCAAAATAAAAACTGGAATGGGACTCTGGGATAGTACAAACCTTTTTGCAAAAGCAGAAAGCATTGTCCCAAAAGCATCCTTGCCAGAATTTCATCAGGCTGTGCTTTTAAATCCCTCCATTTCAATTGGCTTTGTCCCACTTTCTTGCTAATCTTAATTGTCAGGGTATTTTTCTGACTTGTTAATTTGCTTGTAAAATATGCAATGATGCTTCGTGTTTTCGTGTATGTGTAAATACTGATGTGTCTCTTTAACTTTCCCTTTGCTGAGCATATCCAGTTTGCCCAGCTTTCACATGGGTGATATGCAACTGAGTTTTACTCAGAGTAGCCCCACTGACATTAATAAATACGACAGAGGGCCACCCATATCTCAACTTAACGTGGATTCCGAACCCCCACGCCTCCTTTTCATTACCCCTGGTCCATGCAGCAGCATCCTCCAACTATTGCTCTCCCACACTTTGTGCTTTCTAGATCTGGAGATTCCCTATGCTTTGAAAATCTGAACAGAAAAGCTATACCAGCTGCATAGGGAATCTCTGGATTTAGGATGGAGAAAGGGTGGGACAGCAGGAGAAAGCCACATTTCCTCTGACTTCAGAGGGTGAGATTCAACTCCACTTTCTATGCTTTCTGTGTATTTGGCAACAGATCTTTTGGTTAGCAGGGCCAAATATTTCTTTAAGCCACTGAGGAAAGCAGGGCAATTCCACATAATGTCATGGGATTCATTCTCAAGTATCACTTAGTTTCAATGAAATCAGAAGTAACACAGGGGTTTATTAAGTTCTCCTGCCTCTTCGCTAACTTCAAAATGCCATGAAAGTAGCTTCCCGTATTGCTTTTAGTATGTTACAATTTGTTTTCAGAGACCTTCTGACAAGTGCCTGCATCTTATGATATAAGCTCCCCCTGCCCTCCTTCGGTATGTCTGCAGCTGCAAGCAGAAAGAAAATAGCATTGTACCTGGAGACCTGTGATAGCAAGGAGTCAATTTAACGAAACCTGAAGCTGACCTCAGCGGTATCTCCATCCGAAAGGAAGCTACTGAGCCCCGCTGTAAAGTGACAAAGCAAATGCTTCCAGGGCTGTGTTGTTGGATTGAGCTATTATAGTAATAAGGAAAGCAACTTGGCAAGAAAGCACCTGAACATGTGATATTGGGTCACTTGGCCAGCTTCCTTGACTACAGAGTTGTAAAGAACAAGACTAGATGCATGAGACATTAAAATTCAAATATTACACCTTGTGCTTGTGTGGATCACTAGCCACAACGCCAACATTATCACACCAAAGGAACCGCAAGCTACTCACACAGGGGTCCATAAAAGCCTAGCTGAGGAATCACAAATTTATAAGCAAGCGAAGCAAAAGATTTTCAGTCATAAGTCAGCAGTGTGCCAGGCAGAGTTGTGTGGGGCAGTGTATTTCCTTGAATTGAGTAGAGTAACTGATATTTGAGATAGCAGGTGTGGTGGAGTATGGGTGAAGGCAGCAACTTTTAGACTACTTTTTAGCTCTGTTTTGTTCATCTTTTTGTATAGACTACAATTACTTATAATTGTTTTCTTGTGGATTTCCTAATTTTATTACCCAACTTAGTGGGGTCAGCTCATAATGGCCCAGGCATTGCAGCAGCTGGTGTTCAGTGCTGCAGCTGTTGTTATTTATCGCTTGTAAGCTGTATTGGGATTCACTTTAGTGGAAAGCAGAATGGAAATACAATCAATATATTTGTATCTAGCTTTTCGATAATTGCAGTTGCTATTTCAGTCTGGACCATAATGTCATAGGATTGGTGCTGGTGAGCAGTAAAAAAAGGTAAAGGGACCCCTGACATTTAAGTCCAGTCGTGAATGACTCTGGGGTTGTGGCGCTCATCTCGCTTTACAGGTCGAGGGAGCTGGCATTTGTCCACTCCACTGACAGTTTTTCTGGGTCATGTGGCCAGCATGACTAAGCCACTTCAGACAAACCAGAGCAGCACACAGAAATGCTGTTTACCTTCCAAGCGGAGTGGTACCTATTAATCTACTTGCACTTTTTGGTGTGCTTTCGAACTGCTAGGTTGGCAGCTACTGCCACCACCAAACAGCAACTTGTCCGTCACATCCCTCCAATGTAGGAGGTGGTCCATTCCTTCTCCAGGGCAGCTGGGGAAATGAACTAGTAGGAAGGACGAAAGAGGCACCTGTACTGTTGGGCCCTAGCAGGGTATTTAGGCTCCAGCAGCTGTCCAAGGAGCCCAGGTGCTGAAATAGACCCTACTACTGCAAACCACTGAGCCTTGGGCTTGCCGATCAAAAGGTTGGCAGTTCGAATTCCCGCAATGGGGTGAGCTCCCCCCATCAATGCTCTCATCATTCCCAGGCAGGAACCAGCCTTTTAATTTCCTACCATGTCTGACAACATCTGGAGGGCATCACACTGACTATCCCAGCATTAAACATTTGCACAAGTGGTGACTTGGAGCTCAAAACAGGCAGGGAATGGCTGGTTGTGCCTTTGTTACAATCAGCCTTCTACTCGCAGAAGATCTTTTATTGTCCTTTATGTGATTTGTGTGTCTTTCTTTCTGCTTGGATGACATAGCATCATGAACATTTCTATTAAAAGTAAATGTTGGATTTTTCATACATCCAGAACATCCACAGAATGTAAACAGGAGTTAAGGAAATTCTGAATAAGCACACACATACACACAATCAGGTTCATATAACTTGATATTATGCAGTCCATCTTCCAGAGCTGTGCTCCCATCAATGTTTTTCTACTCTTCTTTTATATTTTACAAAGGTCATTGCAACATCATTTTCTCTCTGACTTCCAACCTCAGAAATCTGTTTGCTGCCTCTGCCTTGTCCTCTTGAACCTTGGTAATGAAGGGAAAGTTCGGTTTAGGTTATCTCGCTGACCCTTAGACTTTATTATCGTGGAAGCTGTAAACTTCACCCAAAGAAATATAAAAAGGACAGAATTACAGTAAGCTCTTTCTCCTTTCCAAGTTCCATATCTGAGCCATCCCTGGATTTAAATCCTAGCCGCAATGCCTGTTGATTACACTGGAACGTGGGTGATGGTATCCAATGACAACTTCGAAGGTTACATGGTTGCTTTAGGTAAATATAAAAATAAGAATTTTGAATTGGTGGGATACTTTGTTCTACATTTAATTTAAAAATAAATGAATAAGATTTAATTCAACATTAACTTTTGCCTTTATAGCAAGCCATTTCTAAGCAGATATATTTTGAAGTAAGCCCAGTGAATACAGTGGAATATGCTTCCTAGCAAGTACGTTTTATCTCAAACATTTCTCTTTGAAGGTTTTCTTTTCTCTTTCTCCCATTCAAAAGAATTTGTCAGTCATATTTCAACACCTATACTATATATGAGAGATCATTGAACAGGCATTCTATAGCTGAAAGGCACAGGTGATTTGCACTGACCTAAACTGCAAATGGGTCAGAAAACCTACTTTGCAGTACAATCCTATGCACATCTACTGAGTAGTAAGGTAAGGATGACTAAGTCTTGCTCCTAGGAAAGTGTGCATAGGGCTGCAGCTGGAATCTTGTATGGTAACATTTATAAGAAGCTCTCTGTGCTCCCAATTTGGTGCCATAATCAACAAGCTGAAAGACAGCTGGTGCCACTGGAAAATATCTCCCCCTCCCCAGCTAGGCCATCTCTGCATTAACTGTGCCACAGTTGTCCCTGTATTTTAACTCCTGATCTGCATCATAAATTGTTGAGGGTGGATTGTTCAGGCAAGGAAGGTTGTTTTAATTGAACTTATGGATCATTAGCCACACTATTTTTCCTAAGTACAAGAGGGACTTCTGACCCCCACTCCCCACCAGTCACTGAGACCATGTTTCAGTGATGTAAGCAGCATGTTGTACCTAGATTTTAAATGTTTATACTACCGCCTGTCATCCTGCCAGGATGTCCCTGCAGCATCTCAGCAGTCAGGACACCCTGTTCCGTGGCGATATTTGCTCATGAAGTGAATCTAAGCCAGCAGTCCAATGGCCAAGATTGCTAGTCAAATAAAAATAGAAAAAAACACTGAACAGCTGCGGTGTAGAAAAAGTCCTATAGGGACCTAGGAATAGGTCCCATTGAATTCAACAGGCCTTACTTCTGAGTAGACATACTTAGGGTTATACTGTTAGTCACTGAGGATGGTATTCAACTAAGTTTTACTCAGAGCAGAAATTAATAGACCTAACACAATCATGTTCATTAATTTTAATTGGTCTATTCCGAGTAAAATTTAGTTGAATACCACCCTAAATATATCTATATCTATATCTATATCTATATCTATATCTAATCTATATCTATATCTATATCTATATCATCTATATCTATATCTATATCTATATCTATATCTATATCTATATCTATATCTATATCTATATCTATATATCTATATCTACCAGCTTTCTGCCAAAGTGAGTTACTTCTTGATAAGTGAGGACTGCCTTAGATTACAATCCGGCTAAACAGTTAAACTTGTGCACAAGTGCAATTCAGATGAGTGAACTTTCCACAGCAGTGCTAAGTAAAGGTGTACCTTAGTTGATGAACGCCTTGCGAGTCAAATGGTTTGGCTCCCAAACGCCACAAATCTGGAAGTGAGTGTTTGCGAACGTTCTTTGGAACCTGAACATCCGAAGCAGGTCCCGTGGCTTCCGAATGGCTGCAGGAACTTCTTGCAGCCAATCAGAAGCCACGCCTTGGTTTCCGAACGTTTTGGAAGTCGAACAGACTTCTGGAACGGATTCCATTTGACTTCCGAGTTACAGCTGTAATGTATTCCATCAGCACAAGGATTGCCACTTGTGCAAAAGAACCTTCCCCCCCTTCTCCCCCTTTGCACCCTCTAAACCTGTTATGGGGACTCTCCAACCCTCCAGAGCAGATGGGCTACACATGGGGAAAGAAGGCCTGGAAAGTTCCATTATGTAAACAGTAATCCTTATGCTGATGGAATGTGATAGTTGTATACCGGCAGTATCATATGGTCCAGGATGTAATACTCCACACACACACCCCAAAAGCAGAAAGTCCTATTGGGCACACATTATTTTACTGTTTATAAATGTATGTTTGAAGTTAATCAGGCCCATTGTTAACATATTTATTGGTGTGTCTGCAGGCATTGGCCTTGCTACGAGAAAGATTGCAAACCACCTGACACAAACGAAAGAAATTATTCAAGAGGGAAACCATTTCAAGACGAAAACGCTGAGCACTTTCAGGAACTATGAAGTGAATTACACCGTAGGAGAGGAATTTGAAGAGCACACCAAGGGGCTTGATGACCGTGTGGTGAAGGTAGAAACTTATGATTTGCTTTCCATTTACACAGCAGTCAACAGCAGCACCTGACATTCAAGAAAACAGGTTGAAAGCAAATTATAAATGTTAAAGAAATGTTTATTTATAAAGAAGCCGCTATTTGCATTTCAAAACGTGGATGTTTTTCTATTGCAACTATTTATTCCATATGTAAATCATGACAGTTTTTCAGCTCATTGACAGCAAGACAGAATTATTTTTTCAACTCCTCATGGTTCCACCTGATACTTATATATCCCCCACTGGCTCCTCCAGACTCCCCACAGGCTAAAGCAAATCCTGCTTTCTGGTGGAAGCAACTGCTGAGCTACTGCATATGACCATTCTACCTGTGGCGGCACATTTTTTTTCATGTAAGTTTATTTTTGCCCCCTGTCGCTCCCTGTTTCTGGAGAACTTTTTAACCAGAGTGGAGTCTATACACACATAAAAACCATTCTGAAAATGCTTTTTTAAAAAGCATTTTTAAAAATGCATTGAATTTTCCATAAGGCTCACCATTGTCATCTAGTGTCACATTGTATATCACAATTAAAACACACTTAAAACATTTTATTTGCAGCTGTATAGCTGAGTCCCAGGAGTCAAGTGAGCCTGATGCAAGCTGTGTCCTAGTTAGGGCTACATCATAGACAATGGTGGGCCAGAACTGTGAGCCAGGTGCTGAGCCAGAAAGTTGAGGGGCCTGCACATCAAAAGCCAAAAAACCTTGTGGCTCATGCATGAATGCTCTTGTTCAAATACGAAAACTTTTATATGCTTTCCTGTCTAGTGGAGTGCAATGGCCTTTCCTGAATAGGAAGGGCCATTCCACAGCTGGAGAGTATGTGTATGTTCACTTTAGAAGAAGAAGAAGAAGAGTTTGGATTTGATATCCCGCTTTATCACTACCTGAAGGAGTCTCAAAGCGGCTAACATTCTCCTTTCCCTTCCTCCCCCACAACAAACACCCTGTGAGGTGAGTGGGGCTGAGAGACTTCAAAGAAGTGTGACTAGCCCAAGGTCACCCAGCAGCTGCATGTGGTGGAGCGGAGATGCGAACCCGGTTCCCCAGATTACAAATCTACCGCTCTTAACCACACTGGCTCTCTTTAGTGGCTTAAAATCCAGTGAGTTCAAACACACACACACACACACACACACACACACACACACCTGTGTTTCAAGTCACATTCGCACAGTTTTAGAGTGGGGAGAGGATGTCTTCACCCAAAGTTCTCCCGAGTTCTTATAATATGGAAGACAAGCAGTGCTGTCAAAATTGTAACTGGTTAATAATAATAGAAATGCCCATAGGTTTATTCATCATTTACCAAGCTGTGAGATAGTTATGCCCATATTGACCTATTATGCAGGGGTGGAAGGTTTAGTTTTGCCACCTGAGGTGAAAGGGGAGGGTGCTGCCGCCCTGCTGCCCTAGAATTCCCTCTGAAGCCTCACTTGCCAGGATCACAAGAGTTCCATGAGATGCCAGAAGCATCCATCATCACCTCTCCTCACTTCTCAGGTGGTGGCAGGGGCAAGGCAGGGAGTCCCACTGATTCCACAGCCTGAGGCAGCTGCCTCAATATGCCTCATGGGCGGGCTGGGCTCTGCTATTATGGAAAAGTTGTTCCTGTGTTTTGTTGTTGTTGTTACTGTTTTCCCGACAGTAAGATCTGGCCACTCTTCGGGGGGGGGGGGGCTTTCAGGATTTCCCTTGAGGGAAGATAATTACATTGATCTGTCTCTCAGAAAATATTGGTCTGATTCTGAGGCAATTTTTATTTCAATCCATTTCCATCCATTGACTTGAGCTCTCTGTGAAGGAGCTCTCCAGCCAAGATCTTGTTTCCCATATAGCTGCTTTTCAGTGGGTAGCTTCCCTCTCCCCCATTTGGATTACGTTTTATTCCTGATTGTAACCTAATCTGTGCCTACACCGTTTGGTATCAACAGAGCTAAAACAGAATGGCAAGCATTACAATAGCCAAATCATTTCCTCTCCCCACCCCAAGATAATGTGGAGGAGTATGCTGCTCATAGCCAACATCTTTCCTATTATCTGTGACCTTTTCATGCCCTGACATCACAGCATGCTCCTTATACCTCTGTCAAAGCTATCCTTTACCAGTCCTGTCTCGGGTAGAAAACTGCCTCTTCCCTGAACTTTCAATAACCTCAATTTTCTCCTATCGTCACTGTTGTTATCTGACGGAGAGTAGAAAAAGCATCTTATTTCTTTTATAATTCTATCTGATTTCTTATCAAGATGATTTCTGCCCGATATTCCCCCACCGACACACTGCTGTTTTTGCAGGAGGCTCAGGAATTATTTATTTTTAAAGAGAGCTGTTCTTTTGCAATCTGTTCTTTTCAGTGCAGAGAATGTGGGATGTTGCCAGACAGCTACAGAATGTACAGAGGTCATATTTTTCTCCCGATCACAATTGTAGTGAAGCAGGAAGAAAGAGACTATAATTCAAATATCTCCTCTGGTGTGTGCCTGCACTACTATAGTAGCTGTGATCAGGGCATCCCCATTCTTCTTATTGCACTTCCAGCTGAGGAGTGGCTCCAAGATGCCTCTTGTTTGCACACAGAGAACTGTCTTTCATGGTAGTCTGACCATGATAAGGTTGACTCCACCCTTCCTTCCATTTCCTTTCTGTTCCCCCCTCTCCAGCGTTATTCTAGCAGTAAACACCTGTTTTGGTTAGCCTGAAAATAAATTTGGGGACCATTTACATATTAGAATATGCTCCTATGCAAAAGCTTTGAATCCAAGCTGCTGTGAACAATCTCTTCCCTCCCAATATGCCCTCCGCATCCACAACAGAAGTGTGTGTGCATGTGTATTAATGTTGTAGCAGTTAAAATGATCCACGGCTTTTCCTGCTGCTGTGCTTTACAGTGCGTTTGTGGCTTTCTTCTGAGGGAGAACGGAATAATGCAAATTTCATATCTGTGCTCCCCTTTCTGGAGACAAATCCCATCATAAATTCACTTTATTTAATTATCTTCTTTTGTGCGTATATTATGGATCATTGTGTCAGGAGAAATAGCTGGGAATTGAAAACATAAAACACTTTTAGTGACACTATAGGCTTTCTACTTAAATTTGGGGAGCTGGGAGAGAGGGGAGGGGGTGGTATTTGCTTGTTATGTGTTCCCTCTCCCCACCTCCCACCCCGACCAACTCTGTGCTGCCATTATGTCACCCTGACTCCAGTTTATTCTGATATGTTGTTAGCCTCAAACGTTTCTACCATGTTGCTGAACTTTATCATTTGATCCCTGCAGACACTGGTGACCTGGGATGGTGATAAACTAATCTGTGTCCAGAAAGGCGAAAAGAATAACAGAGGCTGGAAACACTGGATTGAAGGGGACAATTTGCATCTGGTAAGAGCCGAAATCATTCATGAAAGATATACCAATAGCAGTACTGCAGGAAAACTTGGGGAAAGGGCTGTAGCTTTGCATGCAGCAGGTCCCAGGTTCAAGCCCTGCTGTCTCCAGGGGGCCGGGAACCCCAGAGAGCCGCTGCCCATGTTGACTATTCTGAGCCTGGCTTCCCTTCCTAGCATAACATTGCCATAATGAACAAAGGCATATATTTGCCTCCGCCTAATTTGAAGCTATCTGGAGTATTATTTACCTACAGAAAAGATGTTCTTGGGGGGTGGTAAGAAGAATGATGCAGAAAAGCAGGCCAGAAAATTGCTCTCAGAATAACCATCAGGCATCCGGTATATACAATCTCTAAAGCGTATAATTTAGTGCCACTGGAAAAGCTGAGTTCATACAGCGGGGTTAGTAAATGAAGTCCAAGCCTGACATGTAGTAAGCTTCAGTGGGGCTATAGGGGCCTGTAAAGAAAATAAGCAGTCAGTGAAGTATGGAAAAAATAAATGAGAGTTTTCATATTAAGAGGACTCGAAAGAACAATTGGGAAAGTGAACAGGCAGACTTGGGTGAACCAAAGAATTTCAGTTCAGTTTTCAAAGCTCTTTATGGGCACAAGCCTCCGTGAACTAAATGAACAGGCAAAGGAGATGGAGATCTTCAGCAGACAAACACACATAGCTTTTGGAAATGAACCTGCATGTTTACTTCCTCTGATATGGATCTAGCTGCATAATCCCTCATGGTTTTGCACATCTTCTCCATGTAGAACAGGATGGCTTGATGAGTTAATAATTTTCTCAAACACTTTCCTTATCCCCGTTCTAAACACATTTAATTGAAAATTAGTGCAATGGGGGCTTTTTCCAGCTGAAGGGGCAAATACCCTTATATGAAAACCTTCTGGGGGCCATATGCCACTGCTAGGGGCTGGGAAGCAAAAGCTCGTGGAGCAGCAAATGTTAATTTTATCTTTTTACAGTAGGCTTTTTACACACACACACACACACACACACACACACCTACCTCTCAGTTCTCCATCCAGGCAAACAAGAAGCATTATCAGAGTCCAAGGACACTGATACTAGCCAGTGACACTAGCCAGGCAAAAACACTCAAGGAAGTGCAAAGCCAAGCTAATTGGAAGTGTGGTCTGGGATGAAGGGAAGGGGATGAAAAGGAGTTATGGACTCAGGGGATTCCTGAGGGATAGATAGATAGATAGATAGATAGATGATAGATAGATAGATGATAGATAGATATAGATAGATATAGATAGATAGATAGATAGATAGATAGATAGATAGATAGATAGATAGATAGATAGATGATAGATAGATATAGTCCTGGTGGTGCCACATTTGGCTTCAAGCCTTAGTTCCCCCATCACTGCTCTAAACAACTATGTTTAATGTTACCTCCCAAATGTATACATTTTTAGTCCTTGCCCAGAATCCAAAGTTATTTTAGGTTTGCAAACCTCTTAGGTAGAATTCTGAATCACCCACCTGAAGGCTGCCCTTCTGCATCCCTCTAAGTCCCACTATTCTGTTCCATTCCAGAGCAAGTTTAGAAGCGGCACTTTTTCACCCTGATCCCTAAAACATTTGAAACATCCTCTGGAATCCAGATTCAGCAAACCTTGTAACCAGATCGCTTGAGTTCCAGTACATTCCAATAAGTTCTAGTAGCTTGATATGGTCCTAGTACAGTAGTTTAATATGGCAACATTCGATTATCCTTTGGTCTGATCCAGCAGGGCTCTTCTGTTACATGTCACCCCAATCTCCGAGTGGTCCAAGATTTCTGTACTCCAGACACTTACCTAGTGTTTGTGTTTCCTTTGGAAATGAGGGACAGTGAAAACTGTGGTGTCTTTATGATATATGGCTTATTTACACACATACAACCTGAGCCTATGGTGCATTACGCTCCTGGAGGATTCTGTTTCTCCCACTGCTGGATCCAAAGAGATCAAACATGGCTTTTTGTCCCTATGCTTAGCTTGCTGTGTTTAACAGACTGACACTTTGTCTCACAGTGGATGGAGGGGCTTGCACTCATCTACCCTCCGGCACAGAGTATCTGCTTTGTTAATCACCCCTTACCTTTCTTTTGTTCTCCATAATAGCTTTTCTCCCAGGTGTTTTCTTGAGCACAGAAAAACTGCTTTGGCCTGTATTTTGACACTGTTAAATTCAGCGTCTGGCAGCCCATCTTAATAGTCCATCTTAATAATCCAATGCCCACTAGACACAGGAATTTAGGGGAGTCAAGGCACCCACAAATGCTTAACAATACTAAATGGTGGACACTCACCAGATTCCAGTTAGTCCCTTAGTCAAAGTTTTATCACAGGTGGACTGAAAAATCTGCTGATGGATTCTGTATAAAAACAGAATTTGGCAGCCTTCATCAACATTGCAGTACCTCATGACACATCACAATTTTCTCCAAACCGCAGGGGTGAAGGAGATGATATTAGAAATTAAATTAAATTAAATTAAATTATTAATTTAAAAATGAGGACCATGGAGTGTAAGTCATATGATTCATTAGCTTGTGGGACTTTCCCTTTCACCCTGATAACAGCTTTGCACGATAGATTATTATCCCCATTTTACAGAGGAAGAACCACAGGGTAGTAGCTTATCCATATGAACTTAACTGAAAAAAGAAAAGAATCCAAAATTATTTTTAAAAAACTAAACACCTTTGCAAATTATGTTTATAATTAAAAAATCCCACTGCTATTTTTTGCAACATTCTACCTCTGTTTACATTGTCACTATCAAAGCCTGCATAGCTCACTTTAATACAAAACCGACTGTTTGCAAACTCTGAGGGGCCAGTCTAAAGGGATGAGGGATTAATTTCACAGATTTACAATAGGAAGCTACCTACTCATTTCTATTCTTTTCACAATCATAAAATTCTGGCTTCACTTTTAGCAAAAGAAGGTCAATAAGATGTATAAAATTACCATTGGGTTGATTTCATCCCTGCAGAAACCAGAATCTTATCCTGCTCTGTGCCAGACCTGCTTTATATTGTTATGAAACAACTTCAGAACTGGCTAGTAATCTCATTGACTGGATTTGTTAGGGTTGGTTTAACATTCTGAGAAAAGATCCACATTTTGTTGGGAAACCAATTGACAAAGTGTTATACTTAACTCCTGTTACCTTTAAAGCTTTTCCTTCTCTCCTTTTGCAATTTCCTTGTTGCTTCAGTGAGTTTAATAAATTACAGTATGTTGGTTAATAATAGACAATGCAACGTCCCACAGTTACAGAGCAATTCCTATGCATTTCCCCATTTTTATCCTTTGTAGAAGTCAATTCAAGTGTCAGAATCTAATTACTGCAACCTGTAGTGCTTGCTGGCTGATTGGTTATATAAAATACGCTGCTCTTTCCCTTTTAATAGCCCAGCCCCACCGTTAATGCTCTGGCTTAGCTGTTTTCTCTGCGAGTCTGGAAGGGAATTGTCTGTGCTTACCGATGGTTTTAATGTTGTAGGAGCTGACATGCGAAGACCAGGTGTGCCGTCAAGTCTTTAAGAAGAAGAATTAAATGGATCTGAATCCCATCCAGCTGCACACTGCGTAATTATTATATTCTATGCTGAATTAAATAAATAAAACCTTGACACTGCCAGAGATCTGCTGTTCAGTTCAATGAGTGGGAAACCTCTTATAGTAACATCAAACACTCTCCTATGTGGTTTTTTAAAAGAGCTCTTGCTTTCCAAAGTTAAATAATGTATGTCTTGTTCTTCTAATTGTCCCCCACGTAAACCTTGGCAAAAAAACATTTCGGCACCAAAGACAAAATGTCCTCCAGCAGCGATGTAAGAAATAAGCATACTTATCTTGACAATGGCCCATCACTCCATGACAGTCAAATATACATTTCAATGATGATGAGGGCAAAGCCCATGTTCACTGTACTTTTTCTAACTTGCTTAGCTATGGGTCACCAGGACTCTAGTTTCAGGCAACAAAATGGCTCAGTGGGCTGGGAATGAGACTCAAAGCCACTAACAACTAGATCACTAAATTAAATTTAGGAAAGAAAGATTGCAGCCATCGGGAAAGTCCTCTGAACAAACCTAATTTGTTTCTAGTTTGTGTTCCTCAGAAAGGTGTCTCTGAAAACCCACGCCACAGATATTCAACAAGCTTAACAGGAGATTTAACTCGTGCCTCTCAGAGTGCTTCACATCAGAGTGCTTCATACCATGGCTTCAACTATATATCAACTGCTGTCTGAGGCTAAATAAAGGAACTATATTTGAGGTGTAGACTTAATGTCGTCTAAATTTACACATTGACATTTAGGGCTGATATGGCCAAGAGGTGTCCTAAAGCACACGTACCATACAGGTACTCTTGTCGGGGTCAGTACTGTTTTGCCTGTCTCAAGACTTCTTGAGTAAATTCTACTTCTTACAAAATGTGAGTGTAAGCTCTGGTGTGGATGCTGGCAGCTGGCCAAGGACTCTGTAAACCAGCGGTGGGGAACCCTTTTTCCAACCCAGGGCTGCATTCCCTCAGGGACAACCTCCCAGGGGCTGCATACCAGTAATGTACCTTTGTACAGGAGGCCACATTCCAGCCATGCAGAGTTAAAGGTTTTACACATGCCTGTTCATCCTCCATCCAGCATTATCACAGTCAGGCATGGCCCAGGCCTTTGCCGCCTGAGGTGGATGGCAAAGTCCCATTTCCCTCCTGCTCCTGCTGCCCCTGCTCCACCACTGCCCCACCACTGAAGCCTTGCTTACCAGGGTCATGCAGCAGTGGCTTCCAGTTGAGAGCTCATGAGATCTTGTGGAACTCTCGAGAGATCTCACCAGAAGTCTCACAGGATTCAGACTCCTGAGGCAGCTGCCTCAGTGTGCCTCATGGGCAGCCTGGTCCTGATACCAGCCCAAGAACACATTCCAGCCAGGCAAAAGCACATTATGAGAGTGCAGAGCATGGTCAACAATGCGTGTGGATTTGGGAGCATTACAAGGGCGATACAGAGAGGTTTGAAGGGGCACATTAAGCCCCTAGATCTGTATAGTCGTTTCTTATACCTGCTGTAACCTTTTGATTGCTCAATGCACAGAAATGATCCACGTGTGGAGATTGGGGCCGGGATAGAGTCAGTGGGTGCAATTCTGATCCTAATGCCTAGTATAAACTGTCAAGACTGTAATGAAACATGAAGCTGTGGCTATGAGACACAGGTTTCGCATCAGGCCCTCTTGACATTGTCAGCATACATGCCAAGATCACACAAGAAAAGAAAGGAAGGAAGGAAGGAAGGAAGGAAGGAAGGAAGGAAGGAAGGAAGGAAGGGAACTAGCCACTTGAAAAATGGTACAGAATAAAACAAAATCACATACCCCATGCACACACAGATTCTAAACTTCCAAATTCATCATAATGTATTTATTCATGAACTCAGTCCTTTAGACCAGCATGTTCTGAAAAGGGAACACATGTAAGGTAATGTATTATGTTGCAATTTGCAACAGTACTGGGTGATTTCAACAATGCTCATTATGTTCAATTTCCTACTAAACTACCACAAAGTCCGCTATCTTCCTCGCAGCAGGAGAAACATTAGCATTTGGGTGGGTGAAGGCGGGGGTGAGTTCTGACCAATAAATCAGAGAGCATTCACTCAGAGCCTCTTAACACCTTGATAGTGCAATATTATGTGAATGAGGGGGTCAAACTACACAATATGGTAGCTACGTATGGCAGCAGTCCTGATCAGGACTATAGCATGATGGACTTTTAACACTTTGTCTTCTGCTATATGCTAATCAGTGCTGGGGGACCCCAAGATGTATTGCAAACATTTGTCCCATTTAAGCAAATGGAAAGTTTTTACCAATGCAAATCGCAGGTGCAGGAGGCTTGTTCAGGGTGGCACGAGAATTAAAGTCTCTTATATACATGCACTCATGCCATGTTAAGGCCCCAACCCAAATCAGAACCCCATGCTGGCAATTTGTGTAACGAATAAACCTCTGCCCAGTGGCATAGATACATCTGATCTGATCCATTGCCTTTCATGGTGTATGCAGGAGATGACCTGTTAAGTTGTGGGTGAAAATATCAGAGGACACAGCGATTCTTCAGACAGCTCTTGTTTATTCACAGAACAGAACAGAACAGAACTGAAGGGTTCAGCCAACCTGCTTATATAAGCTCAACCACAAAGCAACAGTAACAACTTTCTGTAACTATCCAATCACTGAACGTCACTTTCAGTTCCTTATTTGCATATGCAGACCTGAGTGAAAACTATCTACAGTATTCCCCTGCTGGCCCAGGGTGAGAACTTCAGTACATAACATGACCCACATACAACTCAATGAAGTCCACTTTCTACCCTGATCCTCCCCAGCTGCAGTCTATAGCTATTGCCTCCGATGGGACATCCATCTTGCCACATTTTTATCCAGCTCTTGTTCTCCTGCTGGCTCTAAACACAAGTTTGCTGTTATACCTAATCATTTTTCTTCTTATTGTTAATTGCTCTGGGAGCTTGGCTGTGATAGAAATTTGAGAGGCGGGGGGACCTATAGTTCATAGCAGGAATAACATATGGACTTGGGCTGTGGCATGGAGAACAATGTCTATATAACAAGTCTTCAACCCCTGGGTCAGCAACCACAGGTGAGTGGCAAGGCCACATCAGGTGAGTGAAAGCAGGCTGCCATGTTGGATTCCAGCTTAGGTTTGCAAATGTGTGCATGGGTTCCAAAATACTGGCAACCCGTATTCTACAAAGTGCAAAGTTCTACAGAGAGAGCAGCAGTGGATCCCTTCCTTCCCAGCTTTCAAGATTTTGCATGGATTACTTCTGGCAGACAACCCCCATCAATTCACATTGGGCAGCATACACCCAACATTTTATTCTAGTTTCAATGCAGACTGTGTACTTGCTTTTCCCCCTACACAATCCGCACATAAATTTAGATCTATTGTATATACTTTTTGCCCCTGAAAAGTGCATCTTGAGAAATTGGTTTCATTCCAAAAACAAAAGCTTGTTGCAAATTGATTCTGCATCACCCTGCAGTGTATACATTTATTCAAGTAAGCACACCCACCAATGTGGACAACAGGATCTAGACTCAATCCAGATTGAAAGCAGCATGTTGAGGATGAGCATAAACTCTTCGAGAATGTGAAACATTACACTTCTGCATCACTAGTTGGGTGTGGATTTGTGGTGGAGACTACTTTCTTTTTACAATATATCCTTCAGAATGGTTTCAGGAGAATAACCAGAGAGAACTTCTTCTTCCACTCATGTCATGTTTCACAGATCTTTACCTACAGCCACAGGTTCTATGCACCACACAACTACATGCCAGGATGATGTCTGTATCTTTTTCACATGGTTGGGAGCTGGGTGGCAAGGGAGTTGGGAAAGTTTTTAAGAGGGCCCCAGTTCAAAAAGTTTGAGAAAGACTGCTCTAATACACACGGAGACAGGAAGCAATTTAATTACAATATTTGTTTCTGCTCTAATTGGCAAGTTCACATTTAGCTGTAATGCAGAGAGATTAATAGGACAACAGATGCACTTACGTTTTTAATGCAGGGTTGGGTCCTTTTCCTTCCTCCCTGCTCCTACACATACACAGCAGAAGAGGCTCTTTTCACATTTAATTTGTGAGTGATTGGACGGGTAGCGGTGGGGATGGTTATTAATTTTGGTCTTCTTGATTGCACTTGTTATGCAGATTTGAAGACTGGAAGATGAGGTAGAATCATTTTGTGAAAATGAGATTAAAGGAAAATTAACCAGACATGCATTTTGAGAGCTGCAAAAATTTTGTCAATTATTTCCCCCACTTCCTACTTGCTATAATTAGATCTTGTGTTGCACCGTGACTGATTACACTAAGAGACTAATGCATGAGAGGGAAGATGGCGGAATAATCAGAAAAGCAATAGGGCCCTGTGATGTCACAAAATAATACCAACTGTGAAATAACATTTTGCTTGCGAAAAATCCCGAATTCAATCCCAGGAATATTCAGTTACAAACAACAAAGTACACTGATAGCTTGCAAAGCCACGCCCAGTCAGAATACTGGCCTACATGGACCAACAGTCTGGCTTAGTACAAAGCAGCTTCTGTGGGCTTTTTCATAGGTTATGCTGAACGTGCACAGGCATGGAAGCTGTGCTATCAACAGTTAACTGGAAAAGCAGTGGTTCCACAGGGGGAAATAAAATAGAATAAATTGGGACAACAGAAACAACCAAAGCTGTTTGCCTCCCACAAACACACTTTCCATTGCAATGTGGGAAGAGGATTTGTGATAGACATGCTCAGACTATAGATATGACCATAGCAGCCATTCTGGATAAGAGGAAAGTATAGTCATGAATGAAAGTTGAAGCAATAGATTTAGAAAGGAATAGATGTATTCTGGAGATGCTAAAAACAATCAGTAGAAGGTTGCTGTGCTGGGCCTGGGGGTAACCCAAGAACTGCGGTCCAGATTCAGTCCAGAATCCGAAGGTTCCGCTAGGAGTCAGTCCAACAGGGTCAAGGCAGGACACGAGGCAGGAAACCAGGCAAGGACAGGTACAGGATCTCAGGCAGGATCTGGAATACAGCAATGTTGCTCCTGCAACC